CTGCTGACCCATAGGTCAGCTCTGTAGCTACGGACTGGTTAGACTAAGACCAGAACAACTTACCCATTTTCTCTTCCACATGTTGACTAACTTAGGATAGGGTCATTCCTGGTTTTGTAACTATATGAATTTGGCACACACTGGGCCCATTTCCCATCCCCTGTGTGTATGCAGGACTGGTGGTCAGGGTTATATATAAGCAGAAATGAAGTAACTTGGTTCTGTAAAACATCATGTACCTTTTGGCATCATAGAGTGTTTTTAAGTTGAAAAGATATTTTATTCATTCTTAGACTTGGTCTAGATGCTTCTTATGTTATTAACACAGCTAACTATAAATCCAGAGAACAGATTCAAAACTGGCAGGTCTACCAAGATGAGCAATTCCATGCCTTGAGGAAGAGTACCCACAAGATTAAGGACCGACCCTGTTTTGCCTGTGTTACCCTTACGCTGAGCCATAGCCGGCAAAGACATTGCACCTGCTCGGAGAAGGGCATTGGTGCAGGGAGTCCCCAAAACCACCGAGGGGTTGAAGCTGGAGGGCACCTCTGGGAATTGCCTGCCTGGTCCACCCCCCTGCCCAAACCACGGTCACCACTAGCAGGTTGCTCAGGGCTGCGTCCAACGGGGTTTTGCAAAGTCTGGCTTTGTCTTCTTTACTCCCTCCCATCAGGTGGTTATATTCATTGATGAGATCCCCCTGAACCCCCTCTCCTCCCGGCTAAAGTTCTTCGGTGATTCAGGCAAAGGTCTGAGCAGGGTTTGCCTGTAAATGCACAGATGTATGCATGTGCTGCGCCACTCGGCTAGCATTTATGTAGCTAAACTCTTAAAACACACACAGAATTTGTACAACCCGATAACCATAACCATATCCAATTTGCTTAGATTTTCACATAAGCTATTCATTTCTTCTAACATTTCCCATTTTCTTCACTTTTGCCCTCTTTTCCAACCTTCCAAATCCCACTGGCAAAAATACGCTTTTCATCTCACCGTTAACTTCATAGTTATCTTTATACTTATCGAGCAGACACTGCTTATGGAAAAGATCTTTTCAAATCTCTTTATAAGATAAAAGTTATAAAGATTAGTATTTCATCAGGGACCTTGAAATGCTGTATATTAAAGTTTCTAAATCGTATCCCATAATCAGACTAATCTGCGGGGATCCAATTCCTTCATTTACCTAGAGCATTCAAAGTAGAAGTAATTCTTATATTATTTTCTTTACTGCTGACCAGTCATGCAGGATTTCCAAATTTAGAAGAGAATTAATTTTTAAACTGTAAATACAAGTTAACACAAATTAATTGTACTAAGCTATTTACTGTGGTTTTATTTGGAATTGCACACTAGTTTTGCACTCGTTCAATGAAGATTTTCCATGGAATATGTTTTAAAAACTTTAGTTGGTACCTCTACCTCAATAGTTTAATTACAGCAAGTCTTTAATGTAGGAATGAAGTAATTACTTAACCACATATGCTACGGTCTGTGTAGTAGAAAGCTAAACTTATTTTCCAAAAGAATTTGGAGTTGTTACTTACTTTAAGATATTTGATGAAGACCTCAGTCTGTTGAATTTACACGTTGAAGAACTCTTAAAATATCCTCTTGCTTCAACAGGGATGAGCTTAGTGCTATTTATAAGATTCTAAATTTGATCTTTGAACAGATGCATATGAAGGAAAAAAACCCCACAACCTGTCAATATTGCAGCCAGCATTTAACAAGAGCTAATAACAATAAGCAGAAAAGGATCGGAATCTTCAAGGAAAGCAGAACAAAATGAACAAATGCTGCTCTATATATTTTAACCCAACAATCTGTATTGCAGTTCAGAGATTCTTTCTTAAGTAGGTATTTATAAAGATCCTGGTGGAGCCCTCATGAGCTGAACTGTAAGATATTAAAAAGTTTTAACAATATGTAATAACACCTGCTAAATAAGTAGGGTAAATACATTTACTTGGGGGTATGTTTCCAGCAGATGTTTCCACAGTACAGACTTTGGGCCACATGTGGCCTTAGAGCCACTCTGCATGGGTGGCAGAGGGAGTTTTTGGTTGCGTACCTCTTGGAGAGAACGTGATGCTCCCTGGGACCCCAACAGCAGAGGAAGGGAAGGTGAAGGCACCATGGGGCCAGCTCCATCTGGTCCAAGGCCAGGAGCCCCATTCTCCAGGCATATCCCCCTGCCCCATCGTTCCTCCAGGAGATCTGGTCTACCTGCAAAGCAGCCCTGGGCTGCCGGAGGGGCTCTTGCAGTGCAGCACCCACCACGCCAGGATCAGGGCAAACCCTGCTCTGCTCTTTGAGGGCCTTTATGGAACGTGCAGGCATCAGATTCACGGCTACATTTTTTCATGCAATGCTCAGAGTGTTCTCCCTTTCGTTACCTGACCTGCTATGAATTAGGAACCTCTGTTCTATAGTCAACTTCAAAGACAGCTTTTCTATTTACATATACCTTAGTATCAGGTACTGAACCCGTTATAACAGGTGCTGCCTTTTTCACTTATTTATTGGATAGCTTCCCAATAAGCACTTGGGATGGTTAATTTAAGGAATGGGACCTTAAATGGGATGTATTATCAGGCTATTAATCTATGCCTCAGGTGCATATTAAATTCTGTGAGGTTGAAGGCCTGTTAGTAAATGGCATACAATGCTATGAAAGAATTATAATATAGGTGCATTTTTAAATAAGAAAAAATTAAGTATACCAAGTTTTCACTCAGTATATATGTCCAAAGAAGAGCCCAGAAGTGAAGGATGCTGAGAAGTAGAAAAATATAACATTTGTTTCTGCTAATTAAGGGTAATCTAACTATGGTATTTATTATTGTTAAGCCTCCCTCATGCTCTTAAACTTCTCTCCTGCCATTTCCAGAGTAACAGTTCATGCTGCTACACCCACTAAGGTGAATTTTCAGTTTCAGTTCTTAGCAAACTGCTAATCTCTATAATGTCTAATCACCTCAGTTTAGATAAGCTTGATCTTGTTTATACGAAATCAGTGGAGGGAATGATACAGGATTAACTTCTGTCCTTCAGGAAGGTAATTAAAAAAAAAAAAAATTTAGGAATAGAAAAATCCTAATTTACTAGGGTTATGCCTGTTTATTTTAATTACAAAAATGACTTGGTTACTTTTGCTACTTTCTGTTTGAAAAGTTATATATATACACACACACGTACACACACACACTCTGCATACAACTATATATACATACATGCACACTGGCTGCCAGATAAGAACTGGGAATAATTATCAGACAAGGCACTTCAGAGAAGGAATGGAAATAGAAAAAAATACAGTGACTGGTAGTGGGGAATGGTCGAAGAATATTTTAATATCTGTTTAACATATCGCAGTTAGAAAAGCCACCTGTTTTTTTTTTAAAAAAAAGTAATTAAAAAATTAAAATTGAAACATGTATATGTTTCTCTTCCTATATAAAATTAAAATATAATACACCTTATGCATAATATAAATGAATTATTCATGTATACAACATTAATATACCTGTGTATATAGACATCTAAAATACAAAAATGGAAAATAATATTGGTTAGAAATGATGATGCAGACAATTGATCAAAAAATAAAAAGGAGATAAGACTAAGTAGTTAACAGGAAAGTGATCACTAGAAACAAGGACTGTCCAAGTGTAGTAGAAGCAGACAGAATCATACCAGTACTGCCATTCTCCTATCAATCAGATGAAAAAGTAAAGGGATCAATAAAACAAAAAGACAGAAACATTTCATTAAAAATGCTTAAATCAACATTTTAAAATTCTGCATCTAAAAGTTTTTGAAGAACTGATCAAAAACTTTCTACATTGTTGAGTTGTGAAACAAGAAGAAACTTTGAGAAAATCAAAACTAAGTAAATATGCCATTTTGTAAAAGGCTAAACAAGATGCCCTGAGTAATTATTGGCCCGTCACCATGAGATTAATCCTAGCAAATTATGGGCTCAAATAATAAATAACTGAATCGATGAATCCAATCAACATGGGCTTTTGGAAACTAGCTCATTTCAAACTAATTTATTTTCTAACAAGATTTGTAGTTGAGAAAGGTAACCACTGATGACCTATATTTATACAAGGCATTTTACTTGATTTTGCTTCAATAAATACAGAACCATCACTGCTTAATGGGACAACCATTATACTGATTAAATAAGTGCTACCTGATGTGTCTCAAATGTAATTGGAAAAGAGGAGGGGATTTCTAATGGTGCCTTACAAGGACAGAAGCTTCACAGACCTCATCTAACAG